AAAAAAAAATAAATAAAAATATATATATAATTATATAAAAATATATTTTTTTTTTTTTTTTTTTTTTTTTTTTTTTTTCGAAATTAGCTATGCGTGTCTACAAGTATTCAGAAATGTAGTGAAAACCGAAGCTCAGCAAGGAAACAGATAAAAAGGCTTGAACCATTGTGTTTAAGGGACCATTCCTACAGATATTTGGATAGATCTATCTCCCTGGGAGTCTCACTAAATTGCTGTCAACTTGACGGGCTTAAATGTCTGTCACGCCTAGTAAAGCTGTAAGGGGGTAATTATCTTTACCCCTAGCTGATTCGGTAGGCGTGACAGACATTTAGAAGCCTCTTGAGCTGATAGCAATTTAGCGTGAAAACCCCAAGGAATTAGGTCGATCCAGATGGATCGATGTAAGTATGGGAACCCAGTCTAATACTCGCATAATAATTATATTTTTATTCATAATAGTAGTACCAGCATCCCAAATTGCGCTGATTTCGGTTGAATTAAACATATAGTTTAAAGGGATAATAACTCTTTGTATGAGATCTGTATTTCACAATAAAAACATTGTGAACAACTCATAGAAATATAATATATTCTGTTTTACCACAAAAACGGCAGTTATAGCTATTATTCTGATATCTGAGCTTGTCTTTAGACCACGTGACCGCCATTGATGGCTATACTCTGTTAAAATCTCTTAAGAGATTTTAACAAAAAACCAAACTTTTTAGAAAAAAACCAGGGACTAACTTTGAATGTAAAAATGGATTCATTAACCATTGGTAAGTATGGGAAAATTGTTGCTTACTCCAGGAAAATTCATTTTTTGACCGAAACAAAGAGTTATTATCCCTTTAAGCAAATGTGATAAGTCACAATATTAATTGTCTTTCTTGTCGAGATATATACTTGTATGTAGCTACATAGCTAATCTTAGCTTGCGGAACCTACCGTCTTGTTTGCCAGCGATAATGGCGCTATATTGGCTTGCCAAAGTTTCCAATCTGTTTTCCAATATCAACAGTCTAGAGTCACATTCCTGACTACATGTTGGTTCTTGGCGTCTGATAAAATCAGTGGTTACCATTTATGTAATAATTTAGAGGCTAGCGAGAAATTTATCAAAATACATGTAATAAAAATCTGGTGCGTTATTAAATACAAATATATTAGTACACTTATAAAGAACCTCACTTACGTATAAAATCCCTCTGCTTGTGTTGATCCAAAATGGTAAACCAAACAGAGCAAAACGAGAAAAGCCATTCTACTCATTTTGCTCCAGAATGTGTCTGATGCGTTACGTCGTGTTTTATATACCAGTAGCACGGGGACCAGTGGCTCACTCTTATTTTGGGTATGTGAACATAGCAGGTTTCAGAGATACATAACAGTCGTTAATACCCAGTCCACGACTACCGACTAAAATCCCGAATAATACAGCATTAACCCTGTATCCAGTTACTTCTTGGGAAATAAGTTTCTTTTGAAAGATTCGCCCTTTTTACATAAACATAATAAATAACAAGGGGGGAAAAGCGTCTTTTCCATAATTTTAATGTAAACTTAAAAATCCATCATGTTTACAGCGTTTGCCAGTTTACCGTCACTTTCACATTCTGGTATATATGACGGTTTCATTAGTGCAATTTACCTCTATATGGTGTTTAAAATGCATACTCCAGAACCACACAAACTTAGTAATGAATAAAAATTGTTCTCAAAGCCCCACAGCAAAAAAAGTGCAAACACTGCCAAAATGAAATCGAAGACGAGCTACGCTTTCAACTTGACTGTAAGAAATATATAAAGGAGCGAGAAGGCATGGTGAACTCCCTTTGAAACACAAAGAAAGAAAATTATGATATGGTAGACAGAGATCAGAATGATAAAGCTCTAAGAGCAGTATCTCGATTATGACATTAGCAAAAAGCACCCATCACACTCTTGAACTTGCATATACTGACAGACAGGTATCTTTGATATTTAATTATTTATCTCAACATTATTCCCTTCCCCATAATATGTAAACAAACAGTAGCATAACACAAGTGTGACAGTAATGTTGTCCGCTAGGAACCGTAATCTGTTCCCCATTACTTTGTACAGTGGACATTCGTCCTATATGGTAACCCCAATACTCCGACTAACCCCAACCTGTACTACTCATGTGGGAGCCCGAACTACCACCTCCAGACCCCGTAACTCGAAACATCGCGTATTGAGAATAGCGTTGTCACATAGATAGAGGCTACAATGTACTATATGGGGCGAGTATGGGCGAGTTATGGAATTGAGACGCTTGCGCTCGGTCACAATGCTGTCGAGTTACGGGGCCCATGACTATCATTCTTGTCACACCTGCAGCCATGATCGAATCATGATCGATAGGCGTGGGCTCAAATAATTATTTCAGTACTTATTCCAGATAGAACGTTTTTATCACTTGGACTTATTTCAACCAAGTATTGTAATGTGGCATAAATTTAAATAAGTTTCACATTTAACAGTCTATAGAAAATCAGAAGCTTTATCGAAACTTTGGCACATATTTCTTACGCTCACATAAATTTCAACCCACATTGGAACACGGCGACATTCCAAAATTCATGGGGGTACAGCAAAAAAAGATCGAACGAGTGTTTTCATTGGGCATACACGCGGTTTCCTCGATTACCATCTTGTCTTGCTTTTCTCCATCTTTTACTTAGTCTGTGATAGAAATGCCCCATTCTTTCTTTATTTTAATTTTCTTTCTTATTTTGAATCATCACAAGGAGTCACACTTCCAAGGGCAAAGAGAATCAACTACAACCAATTGTTCTTTCACATTTACAAGTTTATTTCACCTTTTCAAGAATATTATTCACAGAATTGCAAGAAAGAGTTTATTCTTTCACAGCGTACTTCCTCATGGGCCAAAGTCTCTCTTTTCTCTGTTGCTTCTTTGTTTTCAACTTCAGTTCCCTCGATGTCAACTGACGACGAATGGCTCGCGTCTGTCTTTTACGCAAGTCCTTGGGCTTGAACTTCTTGTTTTTGTAAAATTTGCGCAGGTTTTCCTTCTGTGTTTGGTTGATGACTGTCAGGACTCTGGCGATGGACTTGCGCACGACACGACTGCAAAGAAAAAGCAATTCATTATGCACTCCGTTTTAAATCAGAACATTATATCAAAATTGGTCTCAGCTTTGTTGACATACGTTTTGTACACAATCATCCCAACAATGATGTATTTGGCAACAGTGAGCTTATTTAATTTATTATTACCTTGAAAAGTTAATAGCCAAAATGGTTTTTCGTACAAGAAATGTGTTCAGTTTGAAAGGCTTTTTCTCGTCACTGTTCTTTCAGAGACTCTAGTCCGTGTTAACCTTTCTTTCATCATAACACAGAGCACTTGGGTCAGTAAAGATATGACTCAATTCATGAGTGGAAATCGGATAAATAGAGCAAATATACAGGCATCCAACAAAAATTCCAACTAGGGCTCAGTTTTTCCATACATTACATTAATGAACAAAAGGAAACTTGATCAGCCAGCATCAAGTCAAAGCAGTACATGGACATAAAATGAGGAAAATGGCTAAAATACTCACATCTTGGAAAGCTTTGAAGCAGCACCACCCGTGACCTTGGCCACTCTCAGCTGGGACAACTCCTAAAATCAAACCACACACAAGTTAAAACAACAACAACACTTTCTTTTAGGTGGATACCAATATATATATTTACACATAAACTGCCTGTTCAGCTATAGAGGTTTTTCTCTTCACTAAATCATTCAGAGACTCTAGTCCAAGAAACCATCTATTTCATCATTACCAGCAACAGATACACATAATCAAGTACAGAGAATAATTCTGATACATTTGATCTTTTAAGTTAAAATGGCACTGATGAGTAGTTTTACTGCTTTCAAATAGTACAGGGTGCCTGTGATAGTTTTCAGGCGCTTACCAAAATAGGCTCGAATAAAAAAGCCTCTGTTAATGTGATAAAACATATATCAAATACAACTTGAGTGTGTCTGTCATAGCACTTGTCAGTGCAGATATGCATTACCATTGGGTTCAACAATGAAGTAGCACAGAAAAAACTGAACTGGAAACATGGAGTAGCCAGATTTTTATCTTTTCTATCTTATGGTATTTTTCATGGTTTGAAGAAGCCAAGGAACTTACAGTTTTCAAGTCATCAAGCTGCTTCATCAAGTCTTCCTTCTTTTTACCACGCAGCTCGCGGGCCTTCACATTTGCCTGATTCGGCTGAAATGAAATCAAGTGATACAAAATAATGCATAACTGGAGACATTCGTTAGAAGCAAAGAAAGCATCAACTGCTATACATATTATTCAAACTGAATCGTGATGTCTGTATTTGTGGGGTCAGATTGCCTCACTGTAACGCCCTGATATTATGTATATTATTACCATCCAAACTGGCAGAGGGAGGCTTTACTGGGCAATGGGGTGAGAGGCAGACACTGCATGCCACTGCAACTGGAAAGCAATGCCTTCACTTTCTCCATAACCTTGGAAGTTTAAGGTTTGAGGTTTTCTAAACAATTACACATAGTTATGAATATTCTAGACCTACAACTGGTATAAGAACACTGTGGGGGCGAACATTCTACAAGGTAAGACAATTCTTTTGAAATATAAGAACATGTTGCACATCAGTCCTATCGATCCAAAGAGCATTTGTATCACCACAGTTTGTCTGGCAAGCGAAAGTTCATCATATGTGCAACAAATACGCGCAAGATTGTTCACTTTCAATGAAAGCCGAAGTAGGGTTCATCGCCAACACAGGTCGTATAATTTAGTTTATTAGGCTAGCACGTAATGATAAGGCATTAAACGAACACCAAGAACCATCTACTAATCATCTTTTAACTGAGAAGTACAGATGTTAAGAAATAGGTCTGATATTCAGGGATTTTTAAATTGCATTGAGCCTTACCATGATGACCCAGTGGTGATGTCGGTCTAAGAGACCGAGAACGAGGCTTTAGGATCGGACGTTCGTTATCGTCCGGCAAGAATAGTATATTGTAAAAATGTTATTAATGCATGTGTTTTTGAGATATGTTGGTTATTTACTGTATAAAATATCGATATAAAGCAATAGATTATAAAATAAGATACATAAATTTCATAAACAAGGAAATGAAAATAAAATAAAGCGTGTGGTAAAAATCATGGTAATATGATCAAACTGAGGCTTGAGATATTTTTCTTCCGGAAAGTCGAGGGGTGTGGGGACCGGCGAAATTTTCTTTAATTTTATAAATATTTATCAAAGATGTCGAAAAACACAGCAGACAATAAGTTCAGGAAAATTGATGTCGACCAGTATAATGAGGATAACTATCAAGATGAAGTCGCTGATGATGGGCAGGACATGGGACCAAATGAACAAGAAGTCTCAAGTTTCCTTAGTCAGTATCCTTCCTTGTTAGTGTTTTTGCCGGACGCTGACAGTGTCACTCGGTGTCCGTCAGACAGTGTATCTGTTAAATCTTCAGGTGTCTGCCAAATATTTAGCTTGTTTGATTCACATTCAAGTTTCATTATTTTTTAAATTAAATTTAAAGAAAAATCCACCAAGTTGTTGTGATCATAACCCAGTGGTATTATATTATTGACAAGAGTTGTATGATTTCCCTAACCAATTATCAGAGGAAAGAATTTAGAGGCACTGCAAGCAGTCCTTAGTAACCCCCCTGTGGAGACAAAGAACCAAGCTGCCAAAGTAAGATTGTTCTTATTCCTGCAAATATTAAATATATGCTAGACTAGATATTTTTGTTACACATATTTGAGTGTATTGCAATTTGTAATTTTACTTGGCCAGTAAGGTCAATTAAATAACACATTTTTAGTTTTGATTAATGGTTTCTCTATGAAATCTTTTGAAAATGTTAAAAGTGACAAGCTCTGAAGGAGATAAATAGGTGATGCCATACTTATCATATTACTGTACTTCTTAACTTAAATATGTTATCCTCCTGCTCATATTAGTTACATGACATAAATATACAAGGCACCATCTTATTAATAGGTGCTTGTTTTTGATTTTGCAGGATAGAGCACTGCAGCTAGTGATGAGGGTGCTGCTTTCATTTAAAGTAGCTGACATTGATAAAGGTGTTAATGCCCTAGACTCACAGACCTTAGATGTTCTTATGAAATATATCTACAGAGGATTTGAAAACCCAAGTGAAGGAAGCAGTGCACAGTTGCTAACATGGCATGAAAAAGTAGGTTATAACATTTAGAGAAAATATTGTGAATCAAGATATAAAAACCACGTTAATCTAAATTCTATGTTTTCTCACTACTATGGCTGTCACTTATTTTTTTTACCTTTTTCTTCAATTTTAGCTCTTAATATCTTTAAATTTTATAAAGCATATAAAAAAAGACGACATATCAGAAGATAATTTTTGGAGAGGGATACCATTAAAATTTTCTGTTTTCCACACATTTTGATCAACTAACAATCCAACTTTCCCTCCCTTCACTCACTTGAAATGAAAATAAATTCTCAGCAAAGTGATCTTTTTCCAAAATAAGTACCTTTTCACCTGCTAAAATTGACCATGATAGTAGGTTAAGAAAAAAAAAAAGGTTTAGAAAAAAATATATTGTCTTTATTAGTATACACTATCTGTGTTTACTTTTATCAGCAAAACAACTGACAGCATTCCCCATCTGGCCGTTGGTCTCCACTGGTACAAACACACAGAGTAATGAATGTGCGTTTCTGTCTCACTATAACATTTCTTTCAGGTCTTTGAGATAGGAGGCTATGGATGCATAATGCGTGTCCTGACGCAAAGGAAGAAAGTTTGAATGTATGCCACTGCCTATAGGTGGCAGCATTTAAGGTGCTGACATCTATTGGAGAATGTGAGCAATGATGTGATATTTACAAATGCTGTATTTCCTCAGTAATTTTAAATGTACTTGACTTCTACAGGGTACTGTAACTTGACTGCCTTCTTTACATCTGAATCAAAGAGGAGAGACACAATGTCCTTTGGTCAAGGATGGTACTGAAAGAACCATTCTCAGAACTTCACAGGAAAAAAAAAATAGAAGAGCAGTTCAGCATTTGTTGATGTCGCATTCTTGCTAGGCATGTGCATGATATGTTCAGTGTGATTGATGTATTTATTTTCCACATAGTATCATGGTTATTTGATTGTTGTCCACTTTTGAAGATATGATTTAGCTCTCAGGGTGACAGTGGATTCTCAGTTTGCTGAGAGTGGATACATGTACATAAAGTATATCATTCTGACAACAGATTCAGTTTTTAACCTTACTAGGCTAATGAAAGGATTGAATGGCTGGGGGCGTGTCATCTTTTCTATCTCAGATTTTTATCATCTTATCTCTGATGGAAATGCTCTGCTGGGTTTATTTGGTTTATTTCAGTAGCTTTTTTCAGATGGCTTGGTTTTGTACATTGCTTCACATTATATAACCTTTCGGGCTCTGAGCAGTAAACCTAATTTGCAAATAAAAATTGTTGAGAATATAAGCTCAAAGTAGTATGTGTATATCACAGCAGAATTAAGTATAACAACTTTTAGGGAATAACATTTTCCTTAAGGTAGTTGCTGCCATGTCTAAGAATGATTCCAGTTGAGTACAACATACAATGTACATGTGTAACATGTCAATATATATGTTTGTTACTTGTTAATATTCACATCTCCTCTTAATATGCTTTTCTAGAGTGATTGTTCTGGTCATCCAGGGTGACATGTTTGTTTGAAATTCAGCATTTATGTTACTTAAACATGTACCATTTGTCTGTGCGTGCGAGTGTGTGTGTGTGTTGGGGGGGGGGGGGCTGCTTGAAATGTGAGTTTTGGTAGGGTTGAAGGTCGTATATATGTAAGTGACAGATATACGATCAGAATAGAATTTCAAGAAGAGAGTGAGATGTGTAAGTGCTTATTTCATTAGAACTGGATATCTATATTTATATCTCATACTTTTTTCTTCACTCTGACTTGTTTCTTGTGACTTTCCCTGAAAAAGGATTAAAGTAAATGTGAAAGATAATTCAGCTTCAAAGCAGAAAGAAAAAAAAAAACAACACACACACACACACACACACACACACACAGATCAGTTTGGACGTATGGAAGAATTTATCACTGACAGTCAGTTTGTTTTTGTGTGAAGCATGTATTATAGCTGTGATGATTTGGCTCAAGTTTCAAGTTTGTCATTGTTGTTCCTCATAATCCTGCATGTGTTTTTTGGTTTGTTATGCCAGTTTGTCAGGTTTGTCAGTTTATTGTGTTCTGCATTGTGCTAAGTCAGGTTGCATGAGTGTCATAGTGGTGTCACAGGCAAACAGGTGTGTTTTCACATTGATTGAAGCTCTGCCATGTGTGAGGAGTTCCCAAGTAATCCTGTTCACACTATTTCTGTCTCAATCAGACTATAGCTGTGTACACATCTAGACAGGTTCTGACAACTTATATGGATACTATCTGCATTTGAAATGCCCCCAAAGTAATATTTTCTGTCTACATGTCCTGCAAATCTTTCCCCTATTCATACCTTAAAACTGATAAAACCTGTAAGTACCTGATGTCAATATTTCCTTCTGCAATATACAGGATGCCATTGGGGTTTAAAAGAGAAACATTTAAAGCAATTAATTAAAAATGAATATAAGACTTTTCGAAATCGAAATTTCCTTCACTTTCTCTTACTCCCAAATCATTGCATGACCCATCCCTAGCTTGTAAGTACAATAATAATATATTGAAACCAGACCACTTTGTAATAATTCTAGACTTAGGCTTTTTTTTTTTAATCTCAGCAGTTACTTTGTTTCTCTTTTCACAAATTTAGTATTTTCATTTTCTGAACATAATATTTTACACTACTGAAAAATGTTTTTTTTTTTTAATTCCCCTTTTTGTTTTATATTACAAATTTGACTGCTAAGCAATGATTCAGAAATATATCTATGTTTTTTTGGTAGATTTAACATGCATTTTCAGATAAGAGATATTGTTCACATCATTTGCTTGTGGAAGCAGTTTGTATATTGCAAAAATCATCCTTTGGTTATACAATTTTAAGTGGTTGGCTATTCATGCCAGCCAGCAGAAAATGTTTACAGGCTAAATCTAACTGTGTTTGTAAGCTTTTTATTGTTGTTTTTGACTGCACAGATAAATGTTTGTTTGATGTAGTTTATGATTTTGTGCCAAGTTTTGTTGTTTATGAATGAAGAATGTTCTGAATGAATCATTAACACATGAATTTTGATGTTTCATTTCAGGTTTAAAAACTTTTGAAAATTTTTAATGAGTTACAAATAGGTGGAATTTGCTTCATTTTTTAAAATGAACTAAGTTACATGACAGAAAAAGAGAGAAGTAAAATCAATGTTAACCCAATGTTTATGTTGAGGGCATATGGCATGATAATTTTTTATGGTCAATAATTTATTTTCAGAGCTTTAAGAAAGGAGGCCTTGGATGTATTGTACGTGTACTCACTGATAGAAAGATGGTTTAGTGAAGCATACAGGTGGCAGCACATACCAATCACAATGAAATCTCTGCCAAGACAGTCTTGTTTCTCATCTTACGAGTCAAAAGGGAGGCTTGTGACTTAGATATACCCTGATACTGGTTCCCGATAGTGGATGATATATCTTGTTGGATTACTGATGCAGTAGTCAGTTTAGAGTGGCCTGCATTAGCCAAATGGCTGATGTCAATATCTGTCATTTTTTATGTGCAAATAGAAAAAAAAAACATTACTTTTACATTCATAAAAACGTGGCAGTGATACAGTATGCTGTAACTTTTTCATTATTAATTTGGAGGTAAATTTTGATTAACTGAATTTTCTTTAAATTTCAATGTTTATTCAATACAATTTAAGACTGAAGCAGATTGAGGCACTCCTGAAAGTGCCATCAGATTAAATGAATTATAATAATATGTTTATGATGAAGTTGTACATTTTTATGAAGTATGTTCATAATAAAACATTTTAAATAACTGGTTTTGATTAACTATGGTCAGTGTTTTAGAGAATTCACCAAGTCAGCACTTGAAGCTTGGTGACCCACATTCAAGTGGAGGGTGTGGAGTTTTCACCCCACCCAAACATTGGTCAAAATTCTCTTTGTTGTCATTAACAGGCAAACTTTTTCTTTTCCTATGAAGAGAAGGGACAAAAATCTTGATCTTTAAATTTTGTTCTGTTGTGTCATTTGGATTACATACAGGAGAGGACAAAAACCACTGAACTTTTAAGTACTTTTTATTTTTCATGATCACAAAAAAGTAACAAGTATTGCATATATTTGAGTCATATATATTACACTAGTAGAAACTCAGTTCACATGTTAATAACTGAAAAAGAAAAACTTAATCATGCATAACATAGCCTTTGAACAAGCAAAATCTAGGGCGTAACAGGTATACTGACCAAATTCTTTTCCAAAGTATAAAATATAAATATATGGTTACCAAACTGAGCAAAACAGTTTTTCTATAAAAAAAAATAAATATTGTCTGCTCAAGTTGTCTATTGTGAAAACCCTTTAAGCCATAGACATCGAATTAGTAATAAAACCCAACTAAAAGGTTTTTATCTCTGTTGTTGAAAATTTAATACTCGGTGCAATAATGAACTGGCTTGCTGTATGAAAAGATACCATTAAGAGTATTTTGTATTTTTATTTCAAAATTAATCTTAATCATCTCTTGAGTATTTAAGGCACACCTCATCGAGACCAGAATTTCTTCTTACCTCTACCAGGGTCTCAGATTGATTTTTCGCTAGATATTCATAGGTATGCCCCTGGCTAATTTGTGACACGAATCTCTCCCACAACAGAAAAGTGCACATAATTTATCTGCTCCCCTAACAGAGGGTAAAACTTCCTCCATTATTAAAGTATTATACCATATCTACACTACTACTACTGTAACAGCAGTATCCACACAACTGGTCTGTAGACTACCCTCTACACAGAATGAGTCCTATTCACAGATATTTCACTGGCTATCAGTCTGCACTTTCCTGTACTGTGAGAATTTTTGAAAGAAAGAGAAAGTCATTCTCAAGCTAGCCCCGGGTAGAGTATACATAGATCCAGTGCAGCTATCCTTGCATGCCAGTCAGTGTTTAAATCCAGATGTAATTCCGACCAATAAAAATATATCTGATTAATCAAAAGCACTGACAATGTGTTAAATTATGTTTAACTAGTGCTCTTTAAAGACATGTACTGCAGTAAGTATAACAAATTGTAAAACCATAAATTAACATATATATATTATTGCACATACTGCAAGGTCAACAGCAAATTGTGCAATTTAAAATTCATTAAAAAGTATTCAAGTTCTAATATCAGAAAATCTGTGACCTAACAGTTCTGTCCTCTATCCATTATAATGTGCTGTAGCTTCCTGTGGCAGTAATTTCACTGTGCATAGATCTTGTAATGTTGACTTGTTTACAGTTCATTGAGACTCAGAAATCCCCAGACTCAAAATCACCACAGCTGTTTAAGATGGACTCAACTGGCGTTGAAGGTGGACTCACATTGATAGGGAGGCGCAGAGTACTGAGGGGATCAGACACATAACCTGCAAAAATATTCATCATAATAATACGTAACCTAGCTTGACTCAAACAAGAGGCAACAAGTGGTGTAGGTCATAGGGATACAAATCTTTATTTATGTCCCCCTTAATGGGGACCTCAGACTGATTGGTGACCCTTTTACTAACAAGTGAACTTCACCATACTTAAGGGCATTTCATGACTTTAATAAACAAGCTAATTCACTTACGTTATTATTTTTCAATGATTTAAGTCTAGTTTCTATACACATGCCTTTCACTGAATGAATTAATTCAACAAACCACGGTATCTTACTAATAAGTATATATTTGGATAAGGGTATTAAATTTTACTAAAAGCTTTACACCTACCGTTATTATCTATTTGTGGAAATGGTAACCGTCTTCTGACCTCATCCAGTGGAACCCCACTGTAATATACAGGCATAAATACTGTGAGTGTGTGGAGAGGTATATTTCAATTCACATTCATAACTAAAAATCAGGCTTCCACCTGTCTCTGCATTTTTTTTCCATTATTCATCTGTGACACTTGTCATCATTATAATTGATATTAATTTCCTGTTAAGACACTATGACTTCTGATCTCTATAAGCCTACAATATTGTGACCAGGTTTTTATTTTACTTATAACTACATGTACTTATCTTCTCCTTACATCCCTTCTTACATACACACACCTACACACACAAAAACACACACACACACATGCACTCACACACATACATATCTTCACGCACATCCATATCACCTACATGCATGCGCACACATGCACACACACTTTCCCCCTAATATTTCACCTATTTCTAGAGGCTTCCAGCTCCCAGTGTGTCCTCATAGCCAACACCCTCCCAGTTAGAGGAGGCGTGCTCCTCCCTTCCTCTTCCTCCTCCTCTGCATCAGATGTCTGAGATGATATGCTACTAGAGTGGGTTGTAGAGTAAAAGAACGTTGTGGGCTCCTCAGCTCCCTCTACAGTGGAGTTCAGAGACTTTTTGTACTCCTCAAGGTCAACGACAATCTCTGAGAATTCTGGACGTTCCTGAAAATTCATTTCAATACATTTTGATACTCCAAATTCAGCTAATTAAACTCTTAGGGGATTTCTAAACAGATTCAAAGACTGACCAATGACTACTGTTTATTTTTCAAATAATAATTTGTAATTATTTTATGTCCATTTTCAAATCTGAATACCTCAGGGTTGGACTGCCAGGCTTTCTGTAGTAATGCCACTATAGGTTTAGGGAAGGTAATAGCCAGAGGCGGCCGTGTACTCCTGTATGCCATGTCTGCAGCAGCCGCAGCTAGAAGAAAAAAAACTCATTGGATATGCATCAGCAATTTTCAAGTTTATACATACTTTATTATACATTATAAATGTTTACATGTAAACATCATATTTACCCAGTAGCTTAATTATATAAAGTCAGCCAACAGCTGATTCAATTTTTTCTTTACAGTAACTTGCTTTGTTACTTGAGAACTTGAGTTTATTTGAATCACTATAATTCTACAAATACAAAACAAGGTAACTGCAGTTTTAATTACCAGGTTTAAGGTGACCAAATGGGAGTTCCCCAGACAGCAGTTCCCACAGACACAGGGCATAGCTGAACACATCTGCCTTGACACTATACTTGGTACACTGGGTGAAGATCTCAGGGGCCATCCAACGGAGATTCTGAGTGAAAATAAAACATAATATAAATAGACTATTTTAAATCATTTAATTAAATATGCAAAAATGCAAGTCCTTAAAGTTGTGTGGAAATGCTGTTTATACTTGTCAAACAAGTATTATTTTGATGTAAAATAAGTATCAAATATTCATATGGTGCATAATTCCCATTTCTTTTTATCTTACATCATTTATTAAATAAATAATTGCATGCCCTCAATCAGTAATTCTGAAGATAACGTACCCCTGGTTGTTTGGTCATATTGTCTTCTTCCAAACAGCGAAGGAAGCGAGATTCTGAAATATATAAGTGACAACATGATGCTATTTTCAAACACATCAAATAACAAGAAGATATTATGGTATGAAGACCTTTTTAAAACCAATACCAAACAAACTCAGCCATCCATATTTTCTGCAAATAAAAACTAATAACTTCTAAAATGTCTGTCTTAGTTGGACTGATCCCCTTCAACCAAATTGCAATTCTTCTTATGAACACCTGTATAACTTGTGTTGAGGATTAAAATAACAGGTCGTTTAATATGTTTGTTCTATGATGCAATCTGGGCCTTGACCAGTTTAGGTCAATCTTTTTGTATGTATTCACAATTACTGTGCTCACAATCAAAAATAAACCATAATTAAAAAGTGGGAGTTAATCAAACGCTCGGGTCAATTTCTATGTATGAATATATCATAACCACGTTTATAATCAAAAGTGGACGGAAATTTAAAAAGTGGTAGTTTTAAACTAAAATTTCTAGTGTACTGCACCTCCAAAGTCCGCCACCACTGCACGTCCATTTTCATTGAGCAGTATGTTGTGGCTGTTCAGATCTCTGTGGATGATGGGTTGTGGCAGATTATGGAGGTATGCCATCCCTTTAGCCACGTCCAGACTGATGGTCAGCTTGAACTGTAGGTCTAGTAATCTGGTAATAATAATAATAATAATAATAATAATAATAATATCATGTACAGTAAGCACTTTCAAATTTATACACCTAAGAATTACCCCATCTTTTCACTAAAAATATTTATTTCTATGAAAACACGACACATTCTTTAATATAATTCTGGAGGCACTATTGTCAACCATACTAAGATGATAGAATGTAATTTGGATACTACTAAACACCAAAGCATTTTAATTCAAATATCCCTTACCTCTTCTGTTCGTGGAGGATGCTAAATAAAGATCCTCCACTGACAAACTCAGTAACAATGGCAAATTGCTGAAACCAAACACAACATGTTCTACGTATTTTGATGATATTTAGGTCAATATAAAATAAGTAAATTAAATATGAATATCTTTATTTAATGTATTCTAATAACGGATCTCATACATGTATATATTTCCATCAATATCAATCTTAAATAACTATCAATATATATATATATATATATATATATATATATATATATATATATATATATATATATATATATATATATATATATATGTTTGGTCTTTTTTTGACTCTTTATTACTTAAAAGCATGACCTATTTACATATACACATCAAAATACACGGTCTTGTGAAAAAATGTGAACCCCCTGGTGTGGCACGGGCTTTACAATTATTCCCAGTACTCACTCACTTCACAAGAAAGTCCCACCTTTATGCCTATCAAATCTGTAACCATAAAACAGAACAGTGATCAGCCACTTACACTAGGGTCATCCAGACATGCTCCTACAAAGTTGACCACATGTGGACTGTGCAGTTTGGCCAGTATGGAGACTTCCCTGCAGAACATGTCCACATCTGACTTGGCACTGAAGGAATTGGCACGGTACCTAGAAAACCAAACACGTATGTGACAACGTAGAATGATAACTTAGAACAAATTTTTTTTGGAAATAAGTGATCAAGTGTTGTTTTTTTTTTTTTTTTTTTTGTTTTGTAGTTGTAGTTGTTTTGTTATTTGTTTCAATTCACTCACTTTTCTCCATCTAACAAAACCTATAAATGGTCATCATGAAAATTGCATCTTTATTTCTTGAATTTCAAGAAAAAAAATCTAAATTCTACAAACTTATTGTTACTTAAAGCAAGCAGTCTTTCAGAGGAGCGGAATACTATGGCCCATATAAAAAAATAACCTCTAATGGCAAGATTGAGTTGTCATTAAACCGCACCCCACACTAATTCATCCTAGAATTTCTAAAACCTCACCTTTTAACAGCTACCGTCTTTCCTGCGTACTTTCCCTTGCAGACTTTCCCAAAGGAACCACTACCTATGGTCTCCTGAAACTCCAGGTCTAGGATATCAATGTGGAAGTGGTGGGGAAGATTGACACGTAAGTGGAGAATATCTATCTTTTCTAAAAACAGAAGGAGAGTGAGAGAAGGGTAATCAAAATTTGTACTTAAGCAGTTAAACATGCTTTTTTTCTGAAAAAGAGTAATCTGCAGTCTTGTCTCACACACATGATTATAGGCATCTGCAACAAGTATAAGATTTTCTCTGCAATTATCACTATGCTATGTAAGACTACTCAAAATTCTATTAGAAACTACCCATGCAGATAAAAAATAAGCAATTGTGGACAATATAAAATCTAATTAGTTTTGTAGTAGGTTGAATAGTTTCAAAGAGATATAAAACTTGATAAAAGCAGGAATTGAACTAAAGTGAACTGCCTTTTTCACATGTTTAAACCTGTTGATTGCAATGGCAGTTGACAATGAACACCATCTCCATAATGATACACTCACCTCTAGTAATACTTTTCAGTTTGCCCAGTGGTGAGGGAACGGAAACGTAGGAGCCATCACCACCGGGGTGAGTGTAGTCACCACATGCAGACTCATCCTGAGGACGCTTGTGGTGCTTTAGCAGAGTGACTATAGAATCATGACCTATGGAATATAAATAAATATTGGATACAATATCCATAAATCAATTTCAGTCATTGTTTGGTTATTTATATGTTAGTTTCAGTACAGGAATCTTTTTCAAGAAAACATGACAGTCACTGCCAATACATTTGGACAAAGAAATTGTTCCGACAACTGAACAACAAAACATATTGTTTCCCCACAATACATCGATCTATTTCATTGACATGTTTCTATCCAAGCAAATTCATAAAGTATTGGGGGCTTTTCACTTTATTGTGTAAGTCAATCAAAAATAAAGCATTACAGTGACTGAAGAATATGAGCAAGAGCAGCTTTTGAGGTTAGAAAAAAGCTTAAACATTCTGAAAAAAAAATCATAGTCACAAAGTCACCAGAATACAACTGCTTCATTAAATACCACATCTCACATTTTAGAGCCAGTAGAACATTCCCTCTTGACATTATTACCTCTTTCATAAGCCCACATAAGACATGTCTGCTCTTCCTTCTTCTCGCTGTCGCCATTTTGTTCACTGACAGAGGCCACCAGATTCATGTCTGCTCCACTGTCCAATAGAAACTGGACTAGACGAAGGTGACCATGGTAACAGGCACTATGGAGGGCTGGAATTTATGTCAACTGGTCATCAGTGGTCAGACAGAAACTCTCAAATGAAGTCAACAACAGCATATTTTTGAAAAAATATCTGAGTATTTCTGAAATACATTTTATGGCATGCTCTTATTCACATAACTGTCCAGGAGAAAAATTTAGTGAGTCAGATTTTAAAAAACCCTTTCACATTTTTTCAATAACCTTAGTACTTAAAAAAAATTAATACATGCAATGTCCCCCTTACCTGTGTGTCCATCTCTGCCCTGATAGTTAATGTTCACCACATTCTGCTCCAGTAAAAATTTCACCAGGTCCAAACTTTTCCCAAATGTGCAGGCACTAGAAAACAAACACTTCACAATTTTTTTCATCGTTTATTTATCACAATTAAATCATTTTGAACAAGATAAATTTATTTTTCTCTCATGTATTACAATAAAGAAAAATTTGTAAAATTTGACCAAGTGTTCCATATCCCAATATTCTGGAAAAATTTATCAAATTAAAAAAAAAATACTAATCTGTCTAAATCCTGTTTCTATTCACCCACACTACACCCCCAC